TGAGGCTGATGCAGGCTGAGGCTGAGGCAGGCTGAGGCTGAGGCCGAGGCCGAAGGCAGACTGAGGCTGAGGCTGAAGCAGGCTGAGGCTGAGGCTGAGGCAGGCTGAGGCTGAGGCAGGCTGAGGCTGAGGCTGAGGCAGGCTGAGGCTGAGGCTGTGACTGCGACTGCCGTTGCCACTGCGACTGTCATCGCGAATGCGACTACGACTGCGAGAACAGCAGAATTCTACAACTGGATTCTCATCCGAATCTTAAGGGGAATGCTTCCAGATATGCTCCTACACATGGCTGTTAGGTTGCTTTGCCGGGATATTTTTTTCTGTTTATGCCTCGCAGTTTTGGTCTGCTCAAGAGTGCCGCTGATTCGTTGCTAGAGTTACGATGTTCCAACCTACTTTAGCCTCGATCACCAAAAATAAGTTCGAGCACCAAGAAAGTACCGAAATTTGAGGGTTGTCACGCATCGGGCCCTGGGAGACACTCGTTCGACACTGTTTCGACACTTTTCCTGGGGGCCCGAACTTATTGAATCGCTTCGCTCATTCCGCCGGCCCGTATTGTGCCATCGCGGGGTCTTGGGGGGTCTTGGGAGCCCTTGGAAGCTTCGTGGGAGCTTCTTGGGAACTTTGGGAGGCCTCGTGGATGGCTCTGGGTGGGCCCTCTTGGTGGTCTCTTGGGGGGGGTCTGCCTGGCCTCTTGGGGGCCTCCTGGGAGCTTCCTGGGGGTCTCTTGGGGGCCTCTTGGGGCTTTCTTGCGGCCTGTTGGGGGCCTCTTGGGGCTCTCTTGGGGGCTTCGTGGGGCTACTTGGGGGCTTGTAGGGGCATTTCGGGGGCGTGTTTGGGCGGGAGGCTCAAAATTTCCGTTCAGGTTGGCCCTGTGGACCTCAATCATGGGGCCGTCTTGGGGCCTCTTGGACCGTCTTGAGGGTTTCTTGGGCCTTCTTGGAGGGCTCTTGGGCCGTCTTTGAGCGGTCTTCAGGGTCTCTCGGGCCGTCTTGGGGTGATCTTGGGGGGCCTCTTGGACCGCCTTTAAAGGTGTGAAAGACGAAGAGACGGATATGTTAAAAATGCACGTGTTTGCCCAAGGGAGACGATTTTTGCTTGTGGGAGTCCTTTTGGGACGCCGCTTAGGGACCTCTTGGGGCGTCTTGAAGGCCTGTTGGGCCGTCTTGAGGCCATCGTAGGCGCTTGGGGGTGATATTTCGGCGTCTCCCGGCTCTCTTGGACCGTCTGGAGGGCTTCTCGGGCCCCTCTTGGACCGATTTGGAGCCCTCCTGGGCTCCGAAAAAGAGTTCTTGAGGGTTTCTTGGGCCTTCTTGGAGCGCTCTTGGGCCGTCTTTGAGCGGTTTTGTTTTCCCAAGGGAGACGATTTTTGCTTGTGGGAGTCCTTTTGGGACGCCGCTTAGGGACCTCTTGGGGCGTCTTGAAGGCCTGTTGGGCCGTCTTGAGGCCATCGTAGGCGCTTGGGGGTGATATTTCGGCGTCTCCCGGCTCTCTCGGACCGTCTGGAGGGCTTCTCGAGCCCCTCTTGGACCGATTTGGAGCCCTCCTGGGCTCCGAAAAAGAGTTCTTGAGGGTTTCTTGGGCCTTCTTGGAGCGCTCTTGGGCCGTCTTTCAGCGGTCTAGAGGGTCTCTCGGGCCGTCTTGGGGTGATTTTTGGGGCCTCTTGGACCGCCTTGAAAGGTGTGAAAGACGAAGAGGCGGACATGCTAAAAATTCACGTTTTCCTGAGGGAATGGGATGATTTTTGCTTGTGGGAGCCCTCTTGGGACGCCGCTTAGGGACCTCTTAGGGACCTCTTGGGGCGTCTTGAAGGCCTGTTGGGCCGTCTTCAGGCCATCGCAGGCGTTTGGGAGTGATATTTCGGCGTCTCCCGGCTCTCTTGGACCGTCTGGAGGACTTCTCGGGCCCCTCTTGGACCGTTTGGAGCCCTCCTGGGCTCCGAAAAGGGACCTTGCCGGGAGTCTGCCGGGAGTCTGCCGGGAGTCTGCCGGGACTTTGCCGGGGTATTTTTCGTCCGGGGACCCCCAGGGCCCGCCCCGCGCGCGCGAACTAGAAATATTGTTGAGCAGTTACCGGAGATCTTAGCACGCCTCTGGCCCGTTGGGCCGGCGAATTTCTGAGATGCGGTCCTGAAGTACGATGGCAGCAACGCAATGCTAGAGGCTAGGCAGTGTGCTCATTATTCTGCATGGTTCCGCGCGCGAGCCGAATTTGGCTTGCGGAGGTCCAGGGAGGTACGAAGCGTCTTGCGCCAACCACCATGACAGCACGCCAGTTGTTGCTGCACTGCCGCTTCTGCTGCAGTGCAATATTTCGCAAGTTGGTAGACCTCCTACCCTGACATGTCGATTAGCGAATTGGCCGTTTTCGGTTCGCGAGAGGGCGTCGCGGCCGTCATTTGTGCGGGTCCAGGTCCGTCGGTTTCGGTCCTAGGCCGTTTTCACTAAGGGGAGGTTTACTAAAAGGGAGGCGTGCCCACCGCCGAGTATTTGGTGCGTTGACTTGTTCCCCACTGTCCTGTGGTGGTGGGTCCTCGTGTTGAAGGGACGGTCCCCGCGTTCCTCCTCCCTCCTCCCCCTCCTCCTTCCTCCCCCTCCTCTCTCCTCCCTCCCTCCTCCGAATGCGGTGCACACAGCGGCGGTGCTCACAGCTGCAGGTGGTCGGGTCCTTCGCAAGGCTGGTGCTGTTGCAATGCGGTCTGGGTCTGCTTCGGGGTGCGCTGTTCCCCCGCTGGATCTGGAGCTCATGATTCCGCGGGCGAGCCGAATGCGGTTCGAGGAGGTCCAGGGAGGTGCGACGCGCGCAGCGCCAACCACGACGATGGCGACCCAGTATGTTTTTGGTCATTTCAGTTTGTTGCGTGTTGCATCGAAGTTGCTTTGCAATGCTGGTTTGGTCTGCTTCGGAGTGACGCTCTTTCGCCGCTAGATGTTGGGCTGGCTGGTCCGGTTCGTCTTTATGGTGTTCCTGCTGATGGCGGTCTGGTCTGGTTGGTCTGGTTTGTCTATTTCGCCGGTTTGACTTGCTGATCTTGTTGTCCTGCTTGGTTAAAGCCTTCTCGTTTGTTTTATTTCGCCTTGCTGATCTTTGCTCGCCTGCTGATACAAGTTGCTAGATCGTTCATCTGGTGGGCCTGGTTGGTCTGGTTGGATTCGTCCGATTGGTCTGGTCGATCTGGGCGGCATTGTGGGTCTGGTTCGGTTGGCCTGGTTGGTCAATTCGTCTGGCTGGTCGTGGCTGGATGTTCTGGTCTGGTCTGGTCTGGTTGGTCGAGTAGTTCACCTGGTTGTTCTGGTTAGTCTGGTCTGGTACGTCGACTCGGTTGGTCTGGCTTGGTTTGCTTTGTTGGTCTAGCTCGTCTGGCTGATCTGCTCGGCAGGGTTGGTGTGGGCTGGCTGTTCCATATCTGGTGGGTCTGGTTGGTTGGTCTGCTTGGTCCGGCGTGGTTGCTCCATTGGGTCTGGTCGCGCATAGTTTTCCTCTGGTCTGGCTGGCTCGGTTGGTTTAGTTTGTTCGGTTCGCGTGGCTGGCCATCTGTCTGGTCCGCTCTGGTTGGTCGAGTAGTTTTTCTGGTTCGCCTGGTCTTGTTTGGTTGGTCTAATCTGGTTGGCTGATTGGTCTTGGCTGGTTGGTCGATCGGTTATTGCATCTGGTCAGCTAGTCTGGCGATTTGGCTGGACCAACTAGTTTGGCTGTCTTTGCCTGGTCCGCCTGCTGCGCAGGACTTCCACGAAGACGGGCAGAAGCAGGAGAAGCAGCAACTGCGAAAGCATGACTGGCATCAACGTCCGGAGGATGGGGGATCCGAGCAGGAGTAGGGGGAGATGGAGGGGAGGACCTGCGTCAGCAGCCGTATCAGATCCTATGCCTTGGAGTGTAGCGCAATCTGTATAGCAATGCAAAGCGATGCGCTGCAATGCAAGGTTATGACAAGCAATGCAAAGCAATACAACGCAACGCAATGCGATGCAAAGCGATGTAATGCGATGCCAAGAAATGCAAAACAGTTCATGTGATGCAAACCTATGCTACGCGATGCAATGCAATGCGAGTCAACGCAAAGAAATGCAACGCAAACGAATGCAAAGCAACACAATTCAATGCGATGTGATGCGATTGTGCTGCAATGGGGTTGCAACGCAATGTGATTGCAACGCAATGCGACTGCAGTCCAACGGCGGGTGAGTGCAGCGGGGCGGCGGCGGCGGCGACGGGCGGGAACGGGATCGCCGGTGCCGCAATCGGGCGTTTTACGAGGAGACCCTAGGCGACGACGGACGGGAACGGGGCCGCTGGGGCCGCGGACGGGCCCAGTTCCTTGGAAGGGACGCGCGAAGCTTGCTGAGGCCCTCTGGGGGGCAGTCGTCCGCAGTCTTGGGCCACCTCGCGGCATCTTGGAGCTGTCTTGAGTCGCCGATACATTACCTCAAAACGGACACGTGCTTTTCGGACGTTTGCGAGCAGTTACTTTGCGAGTAGTGGAACGAGCTTGTCTATTGAGAGCCTCTTGACGCTGGCCACCCTTTGATCCTTTCCCTCGTGTGTTCCCGCCCCGGAAGCGCTCGAGGAGCGCTCCAGAGGGCCCTGGGACCGCGCCCAGGAGCGAGACCATCTGTGACCCGGTCTTGCAGCGGGGTCCTCAGAGGTTTCCCAGAGGCCAGGCGGGCCTTCGCCAGGGGCAGTCTTCTCTGGGGCCCAGGGTCGGGCCGGACGAAAGGGGGGGACAGGGAAAGGGGGGATCACGAAATCTGCTGCATGCAGCGGGTTTCGGCCCCGCCGAGGGGCCGATTCCTCGATACATGGCCGCCTCCCGGCGCCGGGAGGCGCCGGGAAAATCAGCTACGTGAGCTGATTCTCAAACCCCCCCCCCCCTTTGCTATCCCCCCCTTGCGCCCGGCCCGACGGGGGCCGCCACGCGCGCGCGAGTTGGTGTTGTGCAGCACGTACTCTGAACCTCTCACCACAGGTTCTGGCACGCCTTTAGCCCAATGGGCCAGCGGATTGCATGCGAAGGTCATCGCCAAGGATCGCAAAGGCATCTGGAGCCTCGTGGCGGAGATGCGGGGAGCTGGGGTCAAGGCGAACTCGGTGACCTGCTCCATCTTGCTGAAGTCCCTGACAGAGTATTCCAGCGAGGCAGAGGTCAAGCGGGTTACCGACCTGATCGAGGAGATCGAGGAGAGCATCGACGAGGTCCTGTTCTCCTCGGTCATCGAGGCCTGCCTGCGCATCAAGCAGCTCGCTCTTCTGACGAACATCATGCGCCGCCACAGGCAAAAGGGCGGCTTCGTGAACCTGACGGCCCCCACCTACGGTTCGATGATCAAGGCGTACGGGCAGGCGGGCGACGTGGCGCGGGTGCGCGAGCTGTGGCAGGAGATGGAGGAAAGGGGCGTGAAGCCGACGTCGATCACGCTCGGCTGCATGACAGAGGCGCTGGTGGTGAACGGCGAGGCGGAGGAAGCTTTTCAGTTGCTGCACCAGCAGCTCGACACGGAGGAGCGGAAAGCCAGCATCAACACCGTTATCTATTCTACAGTCTTGAAGGGTTTCGCAGTCGCCAAGAACATCAATAAGGTCTTCGCCGTGTACAAGGAGATGAGGCAGAGCGGGTACGCTTGCAATACCATCACCTACAACACCATGCTCGACGCGTGCGCCAAGTGTTGTGCCATGTCGAGGGCCCCCAGCCTGCTGGAAGACATGAAGGGTTCATGCGTGGAGCCAGATATCATCACCTATTCGACCATCGTCAAGGGCTACTGCCTGGAGGGGGATGTCGATCGTGCCTTCCATGTCCTGGAGGACATGAAGAGCGACGGCAAGTTCGCTGCGGACGAAATCATGTACAATTCCATCCTCGACGGCTGCGCGAAGCAGCACCGCGTCGACGACGCGCTCCGAATCCTGGAGGAGATGAAGACCGCTGGCGTGGGCCCCTCGAACTACACGCTCAGCATCCTGGTGAAGCTGCTCGGGCATGCGCGCCGCCTGCCTCAGGCGCGCGTTCTTTCTTCCTCCTCCTCCTCCTCCTCCTCCTCCTCCTCCTCCTTCTCCTCCTCCTCCTCCGCCTCCTCCCCTCCTCCTCGCCCCCTCCCCCCCCCCCCCCCCCCCCCCACCACACACACACACACACACACACACACACACACACACACACACACACACACACACACACACACACACACACACACACACACACACACACACACACACACACACACTCCGTCGCCATTTCAAGAGCGCTTGGCCGAAGAGGCGTGCAGGCGAGTCCCGACTTGCGTGAGGTTCAGATTTCTCTTCGGGCCTCGTCCCCCCCCCTCCCGACTTGCAAGCAGACTTGCTAGAATCCAAACAACAATTGCCTCCAGGCGTTCCGGCTAGTGGAGGACCTGAGCAAGCAGCACGGCTTCCGGCCCAACGTCCAGGTCTACACCTGCCTTGTCCAGGCTTGCGTCCTCAACCGGCGGCTCGAGAAGGCGCTCGCGCTGCACGACGAGATGGTGGCGGACTCCGGGTGCCGCGTCGACGAGAAGTTCTACGCGGTGCTCGCGCGCGGGTGCCTCCAGATGCAGCAGCCGATGAAGGCCGCGGAGGTCGTGAGGGCGGCCTACCGTCTGGAGGGGCACAGCCTGGCGTCGCCCGCGAGGAAGAACGCCCCAACGGTCGTGGAAGGAGCAAAGCAGCATATCAGGAGGGGAAAAACACAGACACAAGTAATCATCGATCCCCCGGAAAATATGGGAAGGGGGGGAAGACACAAACCCGGAAAATGTGGGAAAATATTGGGAGTATTGTTATTTGCGTGTATTTATTTATTTGTGTGTCCCAGAGCCCCTTCAGCATAAACATGAATTTTCGGCGCTCCGCGCGGAGTTCTTGGATCGGGACTGGAACCGCCCTCTCTGGCGCGCTGAACGCGCTAGGGGCGTCGCTCGAGGCGCCGCCAGGGGGGTCGAGGGAGGGGGGTCCGGTGCTGATCCAGGAAATCCGCGCGGAACTCCAAGTGGTCCTGTTTGTGCCGCTCCCTCTTGCTTCAGGTCGGCGTCGAGGCGCGCACGCTCGAGGAAGTGGCCGGCAGGCTGCAGGAGGGCGGCGCCGAGGAGCGCGAGGCCTTCGAGCGGTTGTCGGCGGACCTGTGGGACAAGTGCGGGGTTCAGCTGACCGGCCGCGGCGGCGGCGGCCGCCGCGGCGGCGGCGGCGGCGGTGGCGCCGGGCGCCGCCCAGGCGGAGGCCGTCGGCAGTGAGCGGAGGACGACGGCTGCACGCCGACGCCAGCCCTTCCTGGGCCCGCCGCGGGCCGGGATCCGGCGCGCACGGCCCTCGGGCCGAGGGCGAGGAGGGCATGTACACCTCAGAGGAGGAAAAGGTACCCATACCTCGACCCCTCGCTCGCTTTCCCCTTTAGTGGCCCTCCTAGCGGCTCTCGTCACCACCGCTGGATTCGCCTCGAGATCCTGGTCAGATCGCACCCCGGGGAGGTCCGGGGAGTAGCGGTATCGGTACCTTTTGCTCTTTCCGACACCCTGCAGGTCAGCCACGCGCAGAGGGGGGTATGGGGCGGGGAAGGCTTCTTAGAAGCACCCCTGCTTCTTAGAAGGCGCGGGCCTTGTCTGTAGATGTAAGGCCGGCGCCGTCTGAGAAGCAGCCTCTTTCTAAGAAGCCCGCCCTCCTGCCCCTGCCCCCCTCTGCGCGCCGCCAAGCAGGGTCCACTACGATCTGATCGATCCGAATCGATCCCGATTCTGGCCGGCTCGTTCAAATTCGGTTCTGATGTTTGCATCGCGCTGTGGTGCATCTTGGCGCGGTCGATTCGAGTCGATTCCGATGCCGATGCAGACCGACCCAGTTTCCCGGTTCGATGCTCACCTATCTTGCCATGAGACTTGGGCGTTGCATTTTTCCCACCAGGCGTTTCGAAGGGTTTTGGGCCCTGGGACCATCACAGGTTGATCTGGCTCGAAAAATGCAGCACAGAGGTGCGGTCAAGGGCCCTTGCCGTGATTGCAACGTCGGATCTCAGACCAGACACCGATCATGGGCCCACGGGCGGCCTGGCCAGCATCGGTGCGGGTGTACAGATGCCGTCCTCCTACGTGAGTTCGAAGTTTTCGGATGCAACTCCTGGGAGGTCAAATTCTGATTTTGCCCTGGTCCGAAATCCAGCCGAATCCGACTTAATCCTGATTGATCCGGCTTCATCCCGCTAATTCCTGCAATCCGGCCCAATCCCGCTTAATCCAAGGCCCACTAACAGCCCCCCAATGGGGCGCACTCCTCCTTAATCCTTCCGACGAAGACCTCCCAGCAGTTGCCTCCTAAGAAGTTGGCGTTCCGCTGAGCACCGGCGGGCGGCCCCGGCCCCCTATACATGCGGCCCCTTCTTCGGGCACTCGCGCGCGGGCACGCGCCAGCACTGAGAACAGCACGGGCGAAGCGAAGTCTTTGCAGCGCAACAAAGGAAGCGGCGCATGGAGTTAAGTCGGGCCTGTCCCTCCACAGGGGGCATATTCAAAAATAGTCAAAAAAATAGTCGTGGGATTATTTGTTCCATCATTTTCGAGCAGTTTGGGGTATTGTTCGACTGTGTTTTATTTTTTCTGCCCGACCTAAGCATAGAGGCAGGCAGTTGGGCGAGGAACGGGTGGGAAGAGACGTGCGGACACATAAGCGTAAGGAGAGGCCATTTGCGGGAGGAGAGCACGTCGTTTTTTGTTTTAGTGGGCGTTATTGGGTCGCTGCAGTCGCCATGGATTCATCCGCCCTCGACAGGAGGGCGATTGCGAGGGGGCGATAACAGAGAGAGAGAGAGAGAGAGACTGAGAGACAGAGACAGAGAGAGAGAGAGAAAGACCAAGAGAGAGAGAGAGAGATCGAAAGAGGGGCCGTTTTGGACCAGATCTTGGCGTACCTCGACGGGCTCCCAGCCTGGCCAGGAGGCCGTACATGACACCAGGGTTTGGTTCAAACATTGTTCGCAGAGGTTTGGCGATGGTGTAGGCTTTGCCACCCCGGCTGAGAGAAAGAGAGAGAGAGAGAGAGAGATAGCGACATTAAGAAAGGAAATAGAGAGATAGGGGGATTGTTACAGGTAAGAGAGAGGGTGAGGGGAAGAGAGAGAGAGAGAGAGAGAAAAAAACAAACAAACCATATTTTTATATTGTTATATATGTATATTTATATGTATATATGTATATATGTATATATATATATATATATATATATATATATATATATATATCGGAGTAGGCCTTAGGGGGGGGGGGGGCCGGCCGCTGCCTGTACCCCCCATGGGTCCCCCCCGGGTCCCAGGGCTCCCGAGACGGCCCGGGCCCGCCCCGAAACAAGCCACGACAGGCTAAGGGCCCCAAGAGGGCCCACGACGGTCCCAAGAGGTTCCGAAGACGCCCAAGATGCCCTCAAGACGGCCGACGAGGACTCCAACGCGCTCCTTGACGGACTCAAGAAGCTCCCCAAGAGGGCCCTGGGAGGAAAAAACATTAATTATCCTATGGTGTTTGAAGCATTGTGGCGTTTTCGTTTTTCCCGCTTCCCAGCTCTCCCTCACGGCCTCGGAGGACCTTCAGATCAATCCAAGACGGCCCACGAGGCCCTGGAGAGGGCCCCAAGACGGCCCAGGAGGCTCCCCAGACAGCCCACGTGTGGCCCAAGAGGGGGCCCATATTTTAAGGTCTCTGGCCCTAGAGGCCCACAGTAGGCCCCTGGAGGCCACCAAGAGGCTCCTACGAAGCCCCGTGAGACCTCCAAGAGGCCCCCAGGAAGCCCCAAGAGGCCTCCAAGGGACCCCCAGGGAACGCCCAAGAGGCCCCCCAACACACCCCAACAAATCATGCCCCCAGAAAGCCTTCGGGGACATGGTCTCCAGAGGCTTCGAAGTACAATCGCGCTACCGGAGAGCTGTTTGGGAAGTTGATTGGGAACATGATTGATCGCCTTCTCGCGGCTCTCCGCGGATCGTTGGCTCTCCGCGGATCGTTTCGCACAAAGTTGCCCCAAGTGCCCTCTTGAACCAACGACGACGAAACGACGAATATGAGGACGACGACGACGACGACGACGACGACGACGACGACGACGACGACGACGACGACGACGACGACGACGACGACGACGACGACGACGGCGCGCCCCAAGAGGCGACGACGACATTAAGACGACGACGACGGCAACGTCCCAACAGGCTTCCCAAGACGTCCCCAAAACCCATGTACCCAGAGGGCCTTCTGGGAACCCGATTCATCAGGCCTCCGCCCTACGCAACCATCTTCCCAGAAAGCCTCCCGGAATGCGGATTGACATGCATGGATTTCTCACTGCCCATTAAGCGTTCAGCGTTATGGGCACTTCTTCATTACCCGTTCAAACCATCTGTGGTCCACTATTTCAGTGGAGCAATGAGCTCGCCAAGGCCTGGGGCCTGCTAGCACTTGAGCGCGCGCGAAGCGCGCGCGATGGTTCTAGGCTGTAACTATAAAAACAAGGAAACCAAACCCATCACACGGAAGACACGAACGGTATCGGTGTGACTAGAGTTGGAGATAGGATAGCGCACGGCTAGGGGTGGGCGGAGCGCTCTATCAGTATCGGCAGAGGCAGGTACGAAATATTGAGAAGAGGAGAGAGCAAGCTAGGTGCGCTCGCACCATATCCTTCCCCCATCCCACCCATCCCTTCACATTGCGTTTGTGATTTTGTATCCGCCAACGCGTGTCATCGCGGATTTGGAATTCCCAGGAATAACCCACCGTGTTATGCGCAATCGGTTCAGGGGAGCTGCGTGCACAGGCGGTCCGTTTCGGATCGCCAGTTCGGTTCGGCCGCGCACTGTTGGGGCTCGCAGGTGCGGGCCGCCCCCCCTTGTTCGGCCGGCTCGGTTCGAGAAGTCAACAGTTCACGTCCGCCAGTTCGGATTGGGCGTTGCACAATTTGTGAGACAATGAGGCCACATGTGTTGCAACGTTCCTCTGGTGCGCCTTTAGGAGAGCTCCAAGCGACATCAGAAGGCGGGAGGGTGCCCAAGACGGCCCCACCCGCCCCGCAGTTTCTTATATGAGAAAGAGCGTGTTCTACCGCTGCTGGCGGAAAACCGGGGGGGGGGTCACTACCGGTTCGAACCCCACCCCCCCCCTCCGGAAAACCGGGGGGTCACTACGGGTTCGAACCCCCCCCCCCCAGTTCTCATGAAAAGGGGGGGGGTCATTACCGGTTCGAACCCCCCCCCCTCCTCGAAAACCGGGGGGGTCACTACCGGTTCGAACCCCCCCCCTCCTCGAAAACCGAGGGGGGGTGCGGACAGTGGTGGGGACGGTGGCGGGGACAGTGGTGAGGAGACAGCGGGACAGTGGTGGGGACAGTGGGACAGTGGTGGGGACTGTAGTGGTGGGGACAGTGGTGAGGACAATGGTGGGAACAGTGGGGACAGTGGACAGTGGTGGGGACGGTGGTGGTGGGGACAGTGGTGTGGGGACAGTGGGAATGAGGTGGAAACAGTGGGACAGTGGAGGGTACAATGGTAGTGAGGACAGTGGTGAAGGCGGTGCGGAGGCGGTGGGACAATGGGACAGAGGTACAGCGGGGACAGTGGTGGGGACAGTGGGGACAGTGGTGGGAACAATGGGACAGCTCAGTGGGACAGCGGAGGAGTCAGTGGGATAGTGGGGACAGTGGGGATAGTCGGGCAGTGGTTGGGTCCGTGGAGAAAGTGGGGAGAGTGGAACCGTGGTGGGAACAGTGGTGGGAACAGTGGGGACATTGCGACAGTGGTGGGGGCACTGATGGGGACAGTGGGGACGGTGGTGGAACCAGTGGGGACAGCGGTGGTGAGGACAGTGGTGCTGGGAACAACAGTGGGGGATGTGATGCGGACGGTGGTAGGGACCGGGAGTCGTTTGCTGGCGGTGCGTGGGGGCAGGGGGGTCGAACCGGTTTTCGAGAAGGGGGGGGGGAGAGGTTAGGGGATGGGGGGGTTTTTGGCCGAGGGAGGGGGGGGGGTTCAGCAGGGGGGGGGGATTTTTGGAGGGTGGGGGGGGCGACCCCCGGGTTCCGGAGGAAAAGGCAGGCAATTTTCCACAGTAGAGCGGCGGTGGATCACGCTCTCTCTCTCTCTCTCTCTCTCTCTTTTTTTTCTCTCTCTCTCTCTCTCTCTCTCTCTCTCTCTCTCTCTCTCTTATATGAGATCACGGGCGTCTGGGTCACCAGGCCCAGGGGGCGCAGACGTTTCCCAAATTCCCCCACCCAGCCCGCAACCCTTTTTAGCCACAGCTTAGTGCCTGATTTGTTTGCTTGCGAGAGTTATTTCGGCATTGAGAGGCTTCGACATAGCCCACGGGCCCGCCAAGACGCCCCAGGCGAGCCCCAAGCGCCTAAATATGATTCCAGGACCCAACGAAGTACACCGCAAGATGCTTCGAGAGAAGCCCAAATCTGGTTCAAAAGCAGTTTGTTCATGATTGCTGTGATTCATTTCGCGTCGCGGGGTGCACATCCGGATTGCGGAGAGCGCGGGGGTTTGGCACGTCTTGGGTTTTTGTTGTTGGAACTTTCTTGAAGGTGTTGGGGGTCTACTGGAGCCTTGCGGCTTTTGTTGGGGATCATGTTGCTGTTTCTTTGGCGCTTGCGGGCGTCTCCGGAGGGGGATGGGTCTGGGTCGTTTCTCACAATATGGTTGGAGTATCAAATTGTCTCCGTCCGTCGCGGGCGTCCTCATCGTGTTTCTTTGGTTGTCTTGGGATGTAGTACATGATTGCTCTTGGGATTTTCCAGGGGCCTGTGGATCGATGGGGACACGGAGGACAGCAGTTGGGTTTTGGACGTTGCAAGGGGTATTGCTTGAGGGGCCGTGGGTGTGAATCGGAATTTGTTTCCTTTGTTCTGGTTATTTGACGCTTACGTCCGAGGCCTGCGGAGCCCGTTTGGCTGTACTCTTCTGGGTGTTTCTTGAGGCGCGCTCCATATCCAAAACCATCCTGGTTTTTAATCGTACAAGTTTCTCGAACTACGTGCAGCCGTAGCAAAGAGAGGGCCCCCGAGAGCCAGAGCGCCATGGATCCAGGGTTCGGAAGTGGTCAGATGCGACCGGAGGCTGTTTGTGCGCCCGAATCTGTGATGCGGCCAGGGCTCACAAACAATTGGCCCATGTGCTCGCTTGGTGGCATGCATTCGAGTCTCTGTTCGATTGGCGAAGAATTTGAGGGCGTGACGAATTGGGGCGGTTGTCATTGTCAAGGCTGCTAGCATAGGCGACCTCGCTTATGAGTTCAGCGCGTGTTGTCTTGTACTCCCTGTTTTTTTCCTGGCCCCTTCCGCTTTCGCGCTCGTCAGATAAAGTCCTTTGTGCCTGGATTTCCGGGCCCTGGATTCCGCGCGTGAGTTTCGAAGGGCTTCGGCCGTCCTTTCTCGGAGTGCATTTCCGGACGCTTCTTCTCTTCAAAATTGTTTC